GGATTCTTTAAGATTACAATCCCTATTACCCTGCTTACTAAGAAGGATGTTAAGTTTGAATAAACCCCAAATTGTGAAAATAGTTTCAGAGAACTCAAAGATTGACTTATGACAGCTTTAACACTAACACAACCTAGTGGATCAAGGAGTTATGCAGTATATACTGATGCATCATACTAGGGTTTAGGATATGTGTTAATGCAAAGTCATAGAGTCATCGCCTATGAGTTCAGACAATTGAAGAATGATGAACGAAATCACCCGACTGATGACTTAGAATTACCTGCAATTGTACATGCTCTAAAGATCTGACGTGATTATCTGTATGGAGAGACATTTGAGATCTATACTGATCACAAGAGTCTTAAATATCTCTTCACGCAGAAGGAACTGAACATGCACTTGTGTAGATGGATGGATCTTTTTAAGGACTATGATTGCAAGATATTCTACCATCTAGGAAAAGAAAATGTGGTGGCTGATACACTGAGTCGCAGTACCTCTGGCATGATTGCAAAGCTAATAGCTTCAGAATGCAAGACTCTAGAGACCTTGCAAGAATTATAATAGAGTATTCACAAATGGGGAATATATATAGTCAGCTTGAGAATCGAGCCAGTATTAATTCAGAAAATTAAAGATACTCAAGAACTAACACTAGTATAGGGACCTTGAAGAAAGAAACTAAACATGGTTTAAGGTCCGACTTTAGAGTTCACGATGGTGGTTTGCTTCGATTCAAAGGAAGACTGTGCGTTCTTGATGACTCTAACTTGAAGAGACTTATATTAGAGGAAGTACATAATTTTAGGTTTACCATACACCCAGGCATCACAAAAATATATCGGAGTTTACGACTTCGACATTGGTGGATTGGGATGAAGAAAGATATTTCTGAATTTGTTAGTAAATGTCTCACATATTAGAGGATTAAAGCCGAACACCAAAAGCTAGAAAAATTACTCCAACCTTTATTAATTTCAGAGTGGAAGTGGAAACATATCACTGTGGATTTTGTGATGGGTTTGCCTAAAACCAAACTAAACCATTATACTATTTGGGTGATAGTGAATCGATTAACAAAGTCAGCCCATTTTTTACCAATTAAAGATACAGATCCTTTAGATAAACTTGCCATATTATATATTAAGGAAGTTATTAGATTTCATAGAATTCTGGTATCAGTAGTTTCATATCGAGATGCTCGTTTCACCTCTAGGTTTTGAACAAGTCTTCAACATGCCTTATATACAAGTTTATCATTCAGTACAATATTTCACCCACAAACAGATAGTCAAATGGAAAGAATCATCCAGACATTAGAGGATATGCTTAGGACTTATGCATTAGAGATGGGAGAAAATTGGGACGACCATCTACCATTGATTAAATTCACCTATAACAATAACTATCAGTTCAGTATTAGTGCAACTCCATATGAAATACTTTATGGCAGACTCTGTAGATCTCCTGTGTGTTAGGAAGAAATTAGGGACCAGAAATTAATTGGACCCGAATTAATTGAAGAAACTACCTCCAAGATTGTCCTAATTAAGAAAAATCTTTAAACTGCCCAAAGTAGACAGAAGAGTTATGCAGATAACCATAGAAGGATTTTGGAATTTAAAATAGGGAATCATGTATTCTTGAAAGTGTCACCAATAAAGGGCCTTATGAGATTTGGGAAGAAAGATAGATTGAGCCCTAGCTTCATTGGACTGTTCGAAATACTGGAGAGAATTGGATCTACTGTTTACCGATTGACATTGCCACTAAAAATGGCTAATGTTCATGATGTATTTCATGTGTTCATGTTATGTAAATTCTATCATGATCCATCACATATAATTCAGTATGAGGAGGTTCCTATTAAAGAAGATTTGTCCTATTAGGAAATACTCATAAAAATATTGGACAAACAAGAGCGAGTATTGAGGAATAAGACTATTATGATGATTAAGGTACTTTGGCGACACCATTCGCCAGCGAAAGCTATTTGGAAAATTAAAGATTCAATATAAGCTCGATTTTCTTAACTACTGTAGAGACATATCAATTTGGAGGACTAAATTTTTATAAGTAGGAGAGAATTGTAACATCCACCTAAAAAGAAAAAAAAAATTGAGTTTGGGTGTAAATGAAATCAATTTTTATTTTTTGGGTTTTTTAATTAATTTTAGAGACCCAAATGAAAGTGGATAAGAAAAAAGAGGTAAAAATATAAATAAGCAAAAATGAAAGGGGGCAAAGTAAATTAGAAAAATGGACAACCCAGATCAGACTGCTGGAGGAGATTGGATGAAGGAGATTTTTTTAAAAAATGGATGTCCTAAATCGAGTCATAAAAATCCAACGGCTGAGAAAACATGTATAAAAGGGGAAGAGATTATGGTTTCCTTCATTTGGAAGAGAAGCCGAGAAAGAGGAAGGGAGAAAGAGAGAGAGATAATGGGGAAGAGGAGGAAGAAAACTGTCGCCCGGGGAAGCGGAGAGAGAAAAAAGAGAGATGAAAGAAGAGAGAGGTCGGAAGGGAAAAAGAAAGGAGAGAAAAGGGAAGAGAAAGAAAGTGGTCGAGCAGGAAGAAAGGAAGCCGAGAATGGCCACACAAGGGGAAAAGATAGAGAGAGAATTGTGGAATAGGAAGAAGAAGAGAGGAAATCGCGATCAAGAAACACCATGTGAGGGCAAAATCCAAAATAGAGGCTGTTTAAGTTTTTAGAGCACCGCACCCAAGCTAGGTTTCGGAGCTAAAAGGTCGCGTGGTGACCAAGAAAGGACAACCAAGAGCCAAGGCGAGGCTAAATCACCAACGTCGAAAGGTAAAAATGGTTTTTTTTTTTCATGTTTTGGTAGTGGTTGAGCAGTGGTTGGGCGGGGCTGGTGTTGGGTTTGCTGTGCGGGCTTGACCGGGCCACCCACCCGCACAGGAACCGAGGAGGTTTCCTTGAGAATAGGAAAAACCCACCCACCATGGAAGTCGAAGGGTGTTATGCTGGAATAGAGGCCAAAATCACTTTTTAGGGTTTCGATTCGCCGTTCGGGAAGCTGAAAAGTCTTCCTCAGAAAACAGGAATCCAATTCGCCAAACGTGGAGTCGAAAGGTTTTTCAGGTACGGATCCTAATAACTTTGGGTATTCTGTTGGGTGGTTGTTGGAACCCATAATTTGATTAAATTAATTTTTATTATTTCGAAGTATTTTAATTAAATTATGTCGTGTGTATAAAAAATTTGGACAGTCAGGTGGATCCGGAAATATGCGTAAGAGAGTAAGTATTTCTAAATCTCGACCGGGTTTGAATTTTAAAAAGTGCATTCATTTCATTAAATTATGAATTTTGAAATTTAAACGGATATTGACTCAATTTTCGATGAAAAATAGAACACAAACTATGATTAGTAAACCTAAGCAATTGGAACCCTATGAGGAGACAAAACCAAAAAGTAGACTCAATGAACTGAGAGTTATTTGGACTGATGAAATATGAAATTGAAAAAGAAAAGTCTCAATTAAGTGAAAATTTGAAAAAGAAAAAGAAATAAAATAAAAAGGTAAAAATAGAAAGGAAAACAAATAATTAAGGTGATAAAATAATCATTTAAATAAATTAAAAATTTTGGAATGAGAGGATAGGAGTGAATAGGGTAGAGACCCTGAATACATTCTCGTTTAGTTTGAATCGAGAAGGAGAGTGTGTGTGTGTGGCTAAAGTTCCGCGGACATGGTGAACCTACACATGGATAGAGTCTGAAACTTAATTCAGACGTGGATAGGTATGTGTGAGTGTGGGTTACCTAGCAAACGTACCTGTTATGGCCATTGTGTAATTTGTGTGTGTATGCTATCGATGTGATGGGTGAATCCATTTCACATTTTTTAAATGATGACTTAAATGGCATCACGCGATGAAACCTTAAAAATGACATTTTGAGTGTATATGTGATTATATTTCGAAATGACGATTGATATTCGAGTGCATTTATGACTATCGTGAGTATGAGAATATACATTTGATGTTTGTGTATGATAATTGAGAGAATTCAGAATATCGATCAGAAATATGTGAAATAGTGAAAATAAGAATATGTATTTTGCACTAAAACATTTTTAATTGCTTTTGTTCCTTACTGTGTATTTTACATGAAATTTTATCTAGGTTGAGAGAACAAGAATACTTATTGAGTTGATGAAACTCATTAAATTTTACTATGATATTTTTTCGAGGAGAATGAAGAGGCAGCACTGTTGTTAGACGAGTAGAACCTGTAAAATAAGTTTTTATTTTTGTATATTTAAAAAATTTTATTTTATTCTATTATATTCTATGACATCATATTTTATATATATAGTTAATGTACATATCATATTAGATACTAAAAAATATTATAATTTTTGATTTACGCATGTATATATTTTATGGGTCTAATGCATGAAATGGTATGAATATGAATTATGTCTTATATCGAGTATTGGGGCGTGACATTATATATTTTTATTACATAAAAAAAAAAAAACGCTTTTATTTAAGTTTTAAACCTTCATCTGTGAAGTTTCTTTAATTTGTTTATAATTTCATCATGTTAGAGTCAATAGAAGAGCTACAATTTTGGCCACTTCATGGATTCATTCAAGTCACAGGTTGTGTATGACAGAGAGAGATATATATATATATATATTTGCTGATAGGTCTTTATATTTTGTATGATAATTTTATTAACGCATTTAAAGGAAGGAAAACGTTAATAATTTCAATTTCACAATATCAAATTAATTAATATGAAAATTTTATTAATAAAACCATAATTTAATAATAACCTTGCATTGAAAAGTACAGTGAACTCTGAAAATAAGACCTTGAATGCAGATATTCTGGGTTGAATCCCAATTTAATTTCTAACATAAACCAAAAAAATTAAACAGAAAAATCTTCTACTCCGTGCTCATTAAACTACTTTGATCAACCTACTCCTGTAAAAAATTAATCCCATCGTTCATTACAACTATTTGCCAAGTCGAGGTGAACTGCCGGGTGCCGAAGAAGGAAACCTGTTGCTTATATTATCCCGCGAATTGTGCATGTAACTAAAATCTGAATGTACATTACCAGAGTCGCCATTACTGAAGATCCAATCATTGTCCTGAAAGTTTAGAGAGGAAAATAGACCCGGGTTTTCCAAATAAAACTGAGTAGCAAAAATGTTATCTGGAACCTCAATTTCTTGCGCAGGAATTTGTGGAGCCTCCATTGTTGGTGCGGGGGTTGGAGCTGCGGGCATCATGGCGATTGGAACAACTACGGGTGGCCGGAAAGCAAAAGGCAACATCTGAGGTTGCTGCAGTAGGTACTGACCGCCGTTAAAATTATTGATTCCATTGTTGTTCATATCTTGATAATTATTATACAGAGGAGGAAGAGGAGGAGGAGGAGGAGGAGGAGGAGGAGGAGGAGGAAGACCAAGAACTTGGCCATGAATATTGAAGGTCCTCAACTGGTGATCCAATGGGGCAGGATTGGAGATTTGAACTTCAATGAGTCGTTGATCACCTTTTTCCTCTCTCCCCCTTGGATTTTCATTCTCGTTCTCATTCTCATCCTCCTCGTTCTCCCTGTTGCGGGCTCTCGTGTTTTGTCTAATCTTCTGGTAAATTCGACATAAAACCCAATCATCCAACTACAAAAAACAAAAACAAAACATCAACTCAGTCAATATGATTTCACTCAATTAAGTAAAAGAAGAAATAAGTCGGAACATAAAATATATATGTATATGTATATGTATATAATACCCTCATGTTGTTGTGACCTTGGCGAGTGGGAGCAGGAGAGTTACAGAGTCGATATTCATGCATGATCCAGTTGGTTTTCCCGCCTGATTTCATCGGTTTCCCCATATAGAAAACAAGAACCTTTCTCTTCGCTATAACATCATCGTTATCGTTTCTGATATCCTTGTCACCTCCAGTTGCTTTCCAGTATCCATTACCAGCCCTTCGACTTGGTCGACTTCCATTTGGGTATTTCTTATCCCTTGGTGTGAAAAAATACCACTCTCTCTCCCCACACTCCTTGAATATCTCTGTTTTCCAATATATACACGATTGTATATATCTATACACACTCAGTTTTTGATAAATAGTTAAAAAAAAAAAGAAAATTAAAATTAACCTGCAAGATCAAAAGGGTTGTAGTCATAGATGTTGACGTCGGCGATATTGCTTCTGTGCATTGGCAGGTTGAGCACCTTCCTCATCAAGTAGGCATCAACGAGCTCCCTATCTTTCGGACGGAACCTGAACCCAGTCGGAAAAGAACCAAACTCGTAACGTTGATCATCGCGGTTTACACTCGATGATGCTCCATGATGAGCGGTGAGACGCCGTAGCGTGGTCGAAGAAGATGGACCCTGGATCTGGTTGGGAATGTCCATTGACGGACAGTGGGGAGGAATTTCGTTGACCTTACAGTTCCTTAATCCTTTACTCTCTCTTCCTCTCCCGATAGAAGGTCAATCTGGTGTAGAGTTCTAATACGTGGAGTATAAAATCAGATTAAGATTAAAGTATTTATAGTTATCTGATTAAAGTTGAAATCTGATTGGAAGTTATATGATTAGTAGTTGGGTTTTAGTCAAATTCCAAGTCAAGAGTTTCTGTACGGATTCCATCGCTTGATTTTACACATATATATGTATATGTATATGTATATGTATTCGATGGGATTCAGTTAGTGACTAGGCTTCAAATATACCGGGCTTCATTATGAATATAATAAGGTGGTGGGCTTTTCCCAATTTCTTTTGTTATGCCTTTTTTGGGGATAAAATAATGAAACAAACAACTCAAAAAAAAAAAAATTCTTAGAAATCTCTAAAAGTTAAATACACGATTGAATTACTGATGAAGTTTGAATATAATGATCAAATTTGTCAACTTTATGTTTAAGTCTTTAATAAATAGTATTCTTAAAAAAATAAAAAATATAATATTTATTTATTATCAATAATTTTGTATTTATTTATTTTGAATTAATTAACATTTTTGTTTAATAAAATTAACAAAATAGTTAAATTGAAATAAATATTTTATATAATTTACAGTGTTAAAATAAAAAACTATTATTGCTTAAATAATTATTTTTTTTATTACTATGTAATTTTTATTATTTCATTAATTTTTATTAAAATTATAATGTAATTAATTAAATATCATAGTTTATATTAAAATATTATATTTTGCCCTTTATAATTATTTTTTTTAAATTTATTTTTTTGAGACACTTATCAGCTCACAAGGAAACACAGGCTGTCATTTTAAAAAACTGGTTAAAGATCGAAGTTTCTTGAATTTCTGGATCCAGCCCAATTGGGTATTTCCCAATTTGGAAATTTCTCTTCTTCTCTTTTCATTTTATTCGAAAAAGGAATCCCATTTCCACGCCAACGGCCAGCAGAGGAACCTCTCTCTGTCACATTCCGTGAAGACACGCACACAACACTCTCACTCACTCTTCGGTTGAAAATGGATCGTAACCCTCCCGGATATCGTCGGATCCCGAAAACCCAAACCAAACCTGAACTTTACTCCACCGTCGTGGTTCACTCCGACTCTGATTCTGATCGAGAGCAAGGTAAGCCCAAAAATAAGCAGCCCCACCGGTATCAGCAAGAAGAAGAAGAAGAAGAAGAAGCTGACCTATATGCTACAATGGTGTACAAAAACGAAACGGTTGGGGAGGACGAAGACGATGATGACTCCTCCCTTCCTCCACTTCTAAAGCGTCTCCCCAAGGACTTCGGAGGCGGAGCTCCGATTGACTATGACGATGACCGCGATGGTTACGGAGGTGCCAATCAAGACGGAGATTTCGGCACAATGATTGTCAAAACAGATCGCAGTGGTCGTAGCCGAAGCAATCAATCATCTCTGAAGCCGCGCGTGGCTCTCAGCCCGAGGGGCACGGGGAGGAGGAGTAGAATGGACGCCGGTGATGAAGATGACGACGAGAGCGATGGTGATGGGGACGAGTATGGGACTTTTGTAGTGAGATCAACTGCACGGCGGGAGAGGGAGAGGTCCACGATGGGGAGGGCGGTGGCAGGCATGCAGGCGGTGGGGGAGTTAGGGTTTGGCGGCAAGCAGAGGAGAGGGAGTGGCTCTTCTCCTTTCTCTTCGCAGATTAAGGTGGCAGAGCATAGACAGCAACAGCAGCAGCAACCAAACAGTAAAATTTCAACGACTTCAATACCTGAGAGTGTGACCAGGGAAGATCCTTGCACAAAGTATGAATTGCTCAACGAGCTCGGTGCGTTGGTTTCTTCTTTTTATTTTTGTTTTACAAGTTGAATTTGGTACCTTGCCGTCTAAGTATGGTAACTAGAAGAATTTGAGTTATTATAGATGCTATGGCTGCTATTACTCAATCTCGTGAATTAACTATCATATAAATGATGGTGTGACTTGGGATTGAGTGGGTGATGGCTAGGTCCGTTGGTATGGAAATTTGGGCTTGGGATGATTTATATGTGAAAGGCAATATTGCTAATCTAATTCCACTGACTGTTTTTTGAATTTTTTGGAAAGAAATAAATTCTAGAGCCTTTGAAGATGTCGAGAAGTGTGTACAAAATAAGAGATAAGTAAATTCACTATTTTGGGTCTATTTTGTTAGGTCATAACATTATTAGTGATGTGAATTTTGATAATGTCATAGATACTCTAATACTATTATAAATTCTTTGTACATGGGTGGTACCCTTTTTTGGTACTATGTTAATATATACTGCATAATTTTTTTCTCAAAAAAAATGATGGTGTGACTTTATGCTGAATTTAATGTCAATTTAAGTTGATTACTAGGTTCTGGATGTTTTGCTGCATGTTGAATAGAATTAATGTCAGCTGCGGCTTCTCTTCCTGTTCTATCCATAACAGAATTTGATTGTTCATCCAAGAAAAAAAAATTGAAGTTGTATTAAGTTCATGTGCTGCATCATCTCAGAGAAAAAAAGTTAATATGCTGCATTTGTTGCTGTACCTTGATCCTTTTGACGTTGTGTTTTCTTAAGGTCAAAGACAAATTTGGACCTCTTTTGGTGTGCTTTTGATCACAAATGAAAGATAGTTTCAATCACTCAAAAGGTTTTAGTGGCCTGTACTTAGCGCTTTTCCCATTTATTCAATCAATGTTATCAGCCCCCTTGGCTTTCAAGTAGTGATAAAATCTTGGCAAAACTGAAACCTAATCACAGAAAACCAAAATTTACCACAATCCCAAGTTTCTAAATTCTTGAAACTGATAATGACACAGTATTGGGCTGTACTTTTTATTTCAAAAGAGAAAAAAGATAATGACACAGTAGTTGGGGAAAAAAACTGAAATATGAAAAAATAATTAGTTCAAGTTGGTTTTGTTTTTTTTTTTTACCGAACTTACCATTTTTCTTTTTTCTCCCTAGATTGAAGAAAATGAGAATTACTAAAAGTAAGTTATGGTCCCAATTTAGGGAATTTTGTTAATAGTATGAGCTCGTTAAGAGAGAATGAACGATCTCTTGTAAGATAAGTACTCAAAACTTGTAAATTAAAATTTCCTTCATCTCTGTTAACTGAGGTAGCTTGGTCTTTTTATACAAAGATAAGAAGATTTGTTGGAAGTTATTTTCTAGGATTCTCATAACTACCCATATTTCTTATCCTAGCCTTACCCCTTTTTTCCTCTACTACACATCCTACTGCTCAACAATGCAGCATAGAGAAACATAAAACAAAGAAAAATAATTTTTGGAAGTTAAATTTCTAAGACAGCATGACTTCCCATCTGTTTCTCCAAAATTTTCTTCTATTAACACTCACAATAGTAAATTGGAAGGCAGACAGATTCTTGATGCTGTCATGGCTGCCAATGAAACTGTGGACTTAATGGCAAGGGGTAAGTATAGGTTATTGTGTAAATTTGGACATGGAGAAAGCTTATGACTATGTAAATTGGAAATTTGTGGAATACATGTTAAGAAGGATGGGTTTTGGGCAGAAATGGCAGGGTTGGATGAATCAATGCATGACTACTTCTTTTGCAGTTCTGGTAAATGGTGGGCCATCAAAATTCTTTGGTGTCTTCAGAGGGCTACGACAGGGGGATCCGCTGTCCCCCTTATTGTTTATCATTATTATGGAGGCTTTAAATGGACTTCTAACTCGGGCTGTTGGCCTCCAACTTGTGAAAGGGTAGAAAGGATAGAAAGGACCATTGGGTTGAATTGTCACACCTATTTTTTGTGGACGATACATTAATTTTCTACCAACTTGATGTGAGGAACTTGCTGAAGTTGAGATGTGTTCTTTTATGTTCTTATGCTGTCTCTGGTCTAAAAATTAACCTTGATAAATTCGAACTGGTCAGGATTGGTGGTAATGAGGACGCATAAATGCTTGCAAAGTGTTAGGGTGTAAAGCGGTGCAGTTCCCTATCAAATACCTCGGAATCCATTTGGATTCTAAATACAAAGATCTCATATCCTGGGAGCCGATTTTGGAGTTATTTGAAAAGAGGCTTGCTGGATGGAAGCATAATTTCCTCTCAAAGGGAGGAAGATACACCTTAATTAAGAGCACAATGACCAATCTTCCCATTTATTACCTTTCTACTCTTACAATCTTGGTGAAAGTGGTTAAGAAACTGGAGTAAATTCAGTGTCGCTTTCTTTGGGGTGATGACGATGAGAAACATAAATACCATTTGGTAAATTGGGAGGATATAAAAAAACCAAAGAGAATTGGTGGGCTCGGCATAAGATCTATGGTGAAAATGAATGAAGCTCTTCAAGATAAATGACTCTGGTGGTACATGACTGAAGATAATAGACTGTGGAGGAGGATTGTGGATGCAAGGTGGGGTGACCCCAATTTGGCCACTAGGGGCATATTGACAGCCTTGCATGAAAGAGGTTTATGGAGGAAAATCTTATCTCAATGGGCTCGTTTCAAACTTTACTCACAATGGAAACTTGGAAGGGGCAATAAGATTAGATTTTGGCTTGACAAATGGCTGTAGTTGGGTTATTGAAAGAGTTATTTTATGAGGATATTCAGTATCGCTCAATCCAGGAATATGCTGATTGAAGATGCTTACCAAAGGATTCATTGTAGCATAAATTGGTCCATAAATGTGACAAGAAATTTAAATGATTGGGAAATCAATCATTCTGTGGTCATGCTAAAGATTTTATTATCACAGCATATCACACTTTCATATGATAAATTCATTTGGGAATTGGAGAAATATGAAGAATTCATTGTTAGATCTTACTACCAATTCTTAATGGAGGATTCTACTGAAGATTGTCAGAAATTTTCCTATAAGCAAATCTGGAAAACCAAGATCCCTCCGCGAGTTGCATTTTTCTCATGGGAAGCCTGTCGGGAGAAGATTCTCACCATTGATAAACTTAGAATTGGAGGACAGATCCTTGTGAATTGGTGTTATATGTGTCTGAAGGTTGAGAAGTCCTGCAATCATTTACTGCTCTAGTGTCTTGTTGCACACAACTTATGGAGTATGATCTATG